CTATTTTATGTTACGGAGGAGACATTACTGCATTAAATGATAAACAGCATTCCAGGTGTTGACTACTTACGATTTTCCATATGTGCTAAAATGTCACAGAATCATAAGCATTAACAGTAGAATACAAAAATACAGGAATTACCTAGACGTACTCTTGCACACCATAGCCTATCTAGAAATTCCCATATTCTTCCCATATCCCAGGTATGAGCTATGACAGCTTCTATGCTAGTAAAGCAAAGTATAAAAAAGTTGCTAACAAAAATACACTGGTAATCTGTTTCATCCTATAAATAAAATGCAACACCTTCCCCCCCAAAAAAACTTAAGAAGGAGACTGTAGAAGGGTTTTTCTCCCTAGACCATGCCAATGAAACCCAAAGAGAGGAGGACTAAAAAAGAACATAACCAAGCCTTCTCTCAAAGCCTCTTTACACTTGCTTTCATCATCTTTTAAACCTACTACAATAATCCCACTTCTGCTCACTAAGCAGCTATCCATATTAAACTAATTACTCACCTACGAAATATCCAATAAGTGTGCAGTGAAAGTAAGAGACCTTCTGCATACGTCCAGAGATGTTCCCTGGTCCTGGGGCGCCACAGGAATCGCTGTTGGCTTGCTTTTTGTAGTTATCGTAACGCAGGACAAAGCAGAGCAGAAGACCTGGCATCACAATATCTCCAATCCCCAGCATAGAGAAGTGGCTGCCTGTGGAACTGGAGAGCAACTGAGATTGGGTTCATGCCTAAGGCACAAGGCGACAAGCCCGAGACTTGTCCAGTTTGGTTTTGAGCTTCATTTTGCACATCCCTTCTTTCTACCAGCAAACTTTTATGTAGTAGAAGCTAAATGCTCGCTACTGAGTCTGTCACCACCTCAGCTCAGTTTTAAATACTCATTTTGACAGTAATGACACGTTGCTCCAAACTAGTTTATTTCTACCAGTAGTGTTTAAGCTGCTTTTGCTCTTAACTCGCTCAATGAAACAGATCCATCAACTCAGTATTTCAATCATCTCTCTTCTAAGTGTCAGTGGGAGCTGACAATTTTATCAAACTGTTTGGATTAACATTGATAGTGCACCTTCATTCCTGTGTCCACAGATCACCTCTAATACAAGGCAATGAGTCAATTTATGGACTTCTCAGGTCTTTGCCTCATTCAGACAAAACATGTAGAAAACTATGGTCTCACCAGATTCCCAGAAAAGAGCCAATTACTAAGTAGATTAAGAACTAAAATTGCCCATTATCTTAAATCGAAGATATTTTTCATTAAAATGAAGCCAAATTAAATTATCACAGAGTTGACAAAATGAACAATTTTGTTTTTATCACTGCAGACAATCGACTCCTAATCTCTGTAATTTCAGCATCCCAACATCTAATGAAACAAGAGTAGAGTAAATATGCCGACATATTGCATAACTGCTGACGCGTTGGAGCCTACTGCCCCACCAGGTCTATGCATATCTAGTTCAGAACCCGAGACACCACAGAACCCCTGCAGTAGAGAGATGTGGAATAATCTCCCTCCCAGCACTTACCCGGTAAGCCATCCTTGCTTAGATCAGTTTCTAACGCCCTTCCCAACCACTTGCAATTATGCAGTAATCAAGACTATTCTGATGTTATAATAAGCCTCAGCTCTTTTGCTTTTAAGCATTAAGTCATAAATCCTACAATAGCAGTCACTAAACTGTAGAACTCACACATATGTCAAAAAGCATATCCTGTTCTGAACAGGCTGCCTTTTAACCTAATTAGGATCATTTCTGCATGCTACGAGACAGCAAATGCAAAGTGTCCAACCCTGATGACTCACAATATACATTTTTATCATGAAGAGGGAGGGACTAAACAGGGAACTAACTTGATATTTTCCCATAGAATTAGTGCTACTAAAAAGTACGGGGCAGGAAAACTTCTCTAATATAACACAGTAAAAGAACTGCTGATTTTACCTTGGAAATACAAGTTTACCAGGCAGCGACAGACGGGGAACATCTCTACCCACATTTGGTCCCAGGTGAAGTTTCCGGGATAAAACATCAAGGGGATTATCAGCTGGTTGTGTGGCCACTTTCACCATAACATTGCTGTTAAAGATGTAGGCAGAAAAAAAGACCTACAGAGCAAGGAAATCATCAGAAATTACAAACTGCAATTATATAGCAGCTCAAAGCTGCATGTATTTTTGCTTTCCTTATTCAAGAAAAGAAAGCATATTGTCCAAATTTTCCATATACATATGTTGTATGATGATAAAAGGAAAAATGTATTTAAAAAAATTCAGATCAAGTTTTTTTACACTATTAATCCTCAAGAATAACTGGAATATACTTTCTGATAGCAAGATATTGATCAATATCTTGAGATTGTTTGGCAAAGGATCTGTGTGGACTAGAAGTCCAGGTAGTCCTGGGCTACAAAGGCAGGTAACTGGATACTGAAAATATGTGAAAGCTTGAAAGCAGAGAAGAGGTAAGTTCAGTGCTCACTCATAAATGGAACGATGCAAGACTTGTTTCAAACAGGCTCTTACACTACAAGCTCATTGCACTGGGAAACTGACTGGCTGCCAGAGCTGTCAGCAAGCGGTTCCCTGGATCAGTGCTCAGTGTTATGCAAAGGTAAAACAAGATTCTTTCGCTATTACAAAATATATTCTGTCAGGTTTCTTGTAAAACTGCAGTAACATTTTATGCCAACCTTACTGGCTATAAATCAGTTTGCAGATTTCACTGCTAATCAGAAGTTGGCATGTGCGTACTGTGCAAGCGTGGATAAGGCTTTGTGTTTACTTGGAAATGCTTGTTCTGATCTTCAGCCAGGCTTTCAAAATTTGAGGTCCAATTTTTTTAATATAAATAATATGCCAAAGTTGAAATATTCTAATAATGTTTCTGCTTTTGTCAACTAATTAGCAAGGAAATCATTCTGTATCCTGCTGCAGACTTTAATGTCTCAGAATGGAGCAATGAAGCTGATCTTCTGGCTTTGCCAGATTTCATCAACTTCATACTAGTACATTTCATGTAAAAAATGGCCCAAGGCCAATTACAAATCCAAAGGATAAAAACAGTTTTAGCAAAACCAAACAAAACACTTACCCAAAAGACATCATAAATTAGTAACCCAGAAAGTAGCAAGCAGGAAACCTTCAGGCTCGGCAACCGAACAAAGGCTATCATTGCAACACACAGGCCCATAGCCAGAGCTACAAAATGCAAGCACATAATTAGTTCATTAAAAATAGCAAAACAAACAAAAAACTCCAACCCCAAGCCAATACCTCCCCCCAAAAAACACCCCAAAGAAGCCTCTGCACCTGTGCAGCACTGCATGCACTAGATGACTGTCTACTATTTCAGATAGTGAAATTCTTCTTACCAGAGTTAAGGAAAGTCAAAACACATTCAGTAGCCAATTGCGAACACACCCCCAGGGAAGCAAAAGCCCCTCTGCAGGCACAACTGCCCATTCCAGTCAACTTCCACTACCCACAAAGAAATGTTTCCATATCTTGTGTCCTAGAAACTGTTTCCTGCGTAAAACACTGACTTTTCAGTTAAAACCAGAAGCAACAAAACTACTTTGAATTCTTTGTGCCCCAAACATAAACCTCTACTTTTACACTATTAGGAGGTTTTCTAGTAAATGCATAAAATAAATAAAATTCTTAACTCTTAATTCAGAAATAGCATGGTTACGTGACATGGTAGAACATGATATGACAAAAAAACCCCGCTCAAATCTTCTGCTTGCGCAAGATTGTGTAACACTGACTATCACATATTATTGTTTAGATATACAGGGATTTCCCAATAACACAAATCTATGTGAAAGCCTACCTACCAACGGGAAAAAAAAATATGGGCAAGTCTTTTCCTAACCCCTCTCCCAAGGGTGGGTTTTCAGCCAGATCAACAGGATGAACAACATGCCGCAGCTCAGATGTTAGTTCTGTGTCAAGGGGAATTTTGTCAGGATAGAAAACTAAGATGTTACACTAAAAATATCCCAGTCTTCACATTTGTGTGATTTTCTGCTTCTTAAGGTCTAGCCTTAGCTACCAAAGACCTTCAACTTCAACAACTGAATATATTTAAACTGGTTATAAGCAAATCCCTAAAGAGACGCTTAAAAAAATAATTAAAAAAAACTTAAAAAGTAAATCAACTTTCATCTATGATATCAGTATACTTACAAGGAATAATGGGGCCCTGTTGGGACCAGATTTCACTGAAGTATGCAGACACTGGTAAACAAAATGTATTTGTCTAACATGACACAGAATTTGTAAAAAGTTACAATCCTGTTTTGACCAACTGGAACTGCAGGAAAAATTGATTCATCACATATATGCCCACCAGCACAACTTGACTAGGCCAAAATGTACAAGTTAACATTCGGATTCTCTATGCTATAATTATGCAACTGTAAAAAAAAAAATTATGCTTGCATTTCACCTGAAAGATGCAGAGTACATCCATCAAAACACTAAGGAAACATTTCCACACAGCTTCAGGGGAGAAAAGCACTACTGAACGCCTGACAGCGTGGCTGCTTGCGGTGCCCAGGAGTTGCATCCCAGCAATGACTTTGGCAATCCCACCTTATATTTTGAGAATTGACACGCGTAGCACAACAGTAACTGTCACAGCTGCCAGTTTTAACAAAGTAATGGGATTACTCAGATAAAAATGTACCCTAAATCATGCTGCATAACTAGCTAGGAAATGTAAGCAAATTATTGAGGTTTAAAGAATTTGATGTAGCAAAGCAGCGAGAAAACGAAATGCATTCAGTAATTCAATATAGCCTTGAGTTACAGACTTCCTCTGGCAGAACAGCAAATACAAGGGAACAGCTTGTCTCAAATCAAAGAGGTTTCTCTAAAGCTAATGTTAATAATAGCTCAAGCAAGCCTATATTTAGGAGAGGATTTCCAGGTTATAATTAACGAGAAGTGGAAATATTTTAACCAGTGTGAAGTTTCATCTATTGTTCGCACACTCTACTTCTCTATCGCTGAAATGAGCGCAGGCACATGCGCAACTCACTTTCATCAAACTACGCAAATATTGGGTAGAAAAGGAGATGGAAAAAAGTCCTTTAGATGACAGTGAAATACACGTGCTAATAATTATGCAATTTTGCAACTGCTTTAAGAAATATCGGTAAATTTAAAAAACAGAAGGGAAGCAAGAATGCCCAAGAGCAAGTACGAGTAATGTGGGCCAAAGTGCAGTCAAACCACCAACAGGCTTCTCTAAATGGAAGCCAGCTTCCTTTTCCAACAAAAAAATCCAGAAATTGTATGAGAAACAAAGGCATCCATACCCAAGCTCAGGGATAGTGCCAACAAACTATATAAGGCAGATCTCCATTGAAATATACTCCACATCATTAAAAACAACAAGAAAAAAAACCCCAAAACCCAAAGCAAAGAAAAAGAAAGAAACAGACAAACAGACAAACAAAACAAACCACGGAGATGTTGGTGGCGCGGTGTCTGGTTTACAAAGCATTATACCAGCTGGCAAGGCTTAAACTTCCCCCACAGGCCACCAGTTGACCTTTGGAAGAAACAGGTACTGAAGTTCAGATCTAATCACATTCCTATAAAACTCTCGAAGTGTATTTACAGAGTGGGAATAAGAACGCGTATCATGAAGTAGCCTCTGCCCGACTGCCGCAGCAGTTATGGTCTCTGGCAGTTCCTGGGTTACCCGTGACTGTTCGGTTCACTCCGTAGCTATAGATAGACACTGCGTACATCTACAGCATTCCCATTGTACATCTCAGCTACGTCCACTATTTAGGAAAGCTTTTAAGCAGGCTTTACCAGGGCACAGTGACCATTCTTGATTATTCTATCAAACAATCTGGTCTGAGAAATGAGCAATTCAAGACCTGTATGTACATGCCAGAATGACCCCCTGGAGACCGTATCTGCTCATTCTCTCCTGTAAAAATGTCCCTCGGTTTTAGAAACAGTTCAATCAAGTACTGTGCAGACAGGGGAATTGTAGTATTTGAGCAATAAAAACTGTTCTGGCAGGATTTTGAGAGGACTGGAAATTACCATGAAGTAATTCCCCTCCTTTTTTACCCAGTTCTAAAGTAGAAATACTCTCTCATAAAGAGAGAGTCAATTGCACAACAACGAACCGTACACACAAAAATCCAGGTCCACTGTTAAGAACAAACGCCTGCCCCACTTCTCCCTCCAGCCACCAGCCCAGGCAATGTGAAGCATGTTCACAACATCTGTTTCATTTTGTGCCGACAGCGAAACAGAAGATCATCCCTGCTTGCCCAGGGAGGAGGAGTTAGATCACAGCACACCCAGCAGCTGGCAGGCGCTGCCTTAAAGACGAGCAAGTGCTCCACTTGCATAAATTACCAAGCAGTTCTTATTGCCCATGGTTCCCTCCAAACAAGATTCATTGGGGGTCTCAAATATTCAGTTATGAGAAGAAAAGGGTAAAAGGCAGAGATGATGTGATCCCACTTGCAGCAGAACCGTATGAGGAGTAAAACTGCAGAGTCTGTTTCCCTGATGAAGGCTGTTCCCTGCTCAATATCACAGACGAACGTTGATTTAATTGGATTTGAACAAAAAGACAGGAAGCTTACCTATATAGTGCAAGGTCTCTTAATATAAACTAGATAAAATACTCCAAAGCTAGACAGTATCAACACAATTCAGTAAATCATAAACAACCACCAAGAGAAATAAAACCCAGAAACCAGTAGTTCAGTACTCTGCAGATTAATTACCTCAAAGCCCACTATTTCAGACTGAAGTGCTCACAAATATAGCTCTTTTTAAGTAAATGCTTCTGTTGCTATCTCAGTGTAGACAAGTCTTTTCAGATTTTGTGAAAAATCCACACTTGACACTCCATTTAGCTTTGTAGCTGCCACAGATCAAAAGCACCCTTGATTTCACTCTGCTTAACACAAAACAAACTTCATCTGCATTTTTTCATTTAGTATCTGGGTATTTTAAAAGGTATTCCATAACATACAACAGGTGGAACTTTTAAATGCAGCAAAAAGCATGAATGAAGCACAATGCCTATAGACAAAAGAAATAATCAAAGTGCCATGACAGGTTCCAGTGCTAGGGACCTGCTGCTGCTGCTGCTGCTATCTCATTTAGGAGGTGCTGGAAAGCTGATGGGCTGCATGTTTTCTGTTGCAACAAACAATTCCAAGGGCAGGTAATGTCATCCCAGCTATTTTTCCTCAAGCAATCACAACCTCAGGGTGCCATTTCACGAGATGTCCTAAGCCAATTTAGCTGCCTGACACTACTGAGAAGCAGAGGTCCTGCTCCTGGCTACCCCTTCATCCCTTTGCTATCATATCCACTCCATCCTCTTGCATCCCATAACGCTGCCACTTACCTTTTGCCAAATTTAGCACATACCTGACTGCACAATAATCCAATTCATCTCACTGCAGCAGCAGCAAAATAGCCTGGCAAAAAAAGAGTACGCTGCCATTCTAGTGAGCTGAATCAGTTTACCATGTGATTAAATGAGTGCCAGAGCTAGCACAAGAGATTTGGAAGGCAGGAGGGGAGGAGGAAAGCTTCTTTTCAGAACAGTAAGCTGTGAATTCAGTTCAACCAGCATAAAAAAAAATTAAAATAAATTACACCTTCAAGCCAACTGGATGCCTGCCAGCTTCACCGATCTCACCACCCTAATTGGCAAGCATCAAAGAGATCAAAGACAACCGGCTACTGTGAAGTCTCTCACAACAAATAATTTGGCCATCTGAACCAAAAACCAACAAGATGCACAGCAAAAATTAACCGGATTGTTAAGATCAAGTTATGATTCATAAACAACCACGGTCTCCACACATCTTTAACTAAAACTGGCGATTCACCCTACACCACACAGGTGCAAAATATCTTTCATGAGTGTTCTGGCACTTCCCTGGAAGCTTCTACAAACCAGAAAAACAGGTGTCCCAAACATTACCCTGGCATGTTCCTGACAGCAGTTGTTTTCAGGGAGTCTACCACACAATATTACAACTCAGCAAGCTATTAATATTAGCACATTTCACCAATCATCACCAGGTGACTGGATGTGTCAGAACAGGCAAAAAACAGCAGGAAAAGAAAATCCCTTAATTCACATACTCACCATCCATAAGGAGCCAGTGGCCAGTTAGGACCCAGATAAGGACAAGCATCACAGACAGAGAAAATGAGAGCAACTCAGCAGCAGTGAAACGCCCGCAGCAGCCAAAGGAAATCCTAGGAACAACATATAAACATTAGCTAGAAGACTTTATGTTTCCATTTAAAGAACAGAAAATGAACACTGTTGGAATAAGGCTCAACTGCTGATGAAAGATGCCAAGAACAACTGAAGGGAAGTTCCTTTGCCACAAATAGGTACCAAAACAGCAACAAAATAAAAGCTTTCCTCACATTCAAATAACGTGTGCAAAGCCTGAACTACAGAGATGGAAAAACCCCTGTAAATCCTGGCACCTCTCTTGAAATTGTTACCATGAATGCTATTTCCTAGTACCATCTAAGATAGTGCTTTTTGCAACATGAACTCCAGTCACAAGATTAAAAAAAAAATTGTTTCAAAACATGACATTAACAACTGTAATTCTCACTAGTGTAACTACAGTCTCTGAAAAAGACAGCATTAAAATCCATAGCCCAACGTTAACAAACATTAAAATCCAATACCAAATCCCAAACTCTGTAATCTCAGCCAAAACAAGCCAAACCTTCTTGAAAACCAGTGTTGGGAAACCTAGTCCCCTGCAATGGTACTGCATTTCCCAGGCTGGCAAGCAGAATCCGTGCTTCCAAGTTTCAGAGTGTAAACATGGTGTTGGCACAAAAAATATGCACAAACATCAGCCCTGAAGCCCTGAGGTTAACGCTTGTCACCAAAGACTCCGTTAAAGAATTCTCATTAAAAGAAATCAATACAACATACAAGGATAGGAAAAAAGTTTTCTCAAGTCCTTACTTGTTTTGAGGTGAACAAGGCCGTGTTAAGTACTGGCACATCGGGAGCAGAAGGAAGGCGAAAGCTATTGTTGCAAGGACTAGAAAAAGAATACAAGGTAATATTAGTACATTCAGACCTAATTTCTACAGTACACAAACAAGCTTCTCCAATTTGAAAAACCTCTTGCAACAATGTCCTATTATCATATGCTGCAGTATTATTAAAGCAAGAGCAGCTACAGGCTCCAAGGTTTTCTGCAGAGCTTCTATTGTTAGTACGCTCTCAAACTTCAATCAAAATAAAAGCTCTACGGAATGCAATGCCTCATCCCCAAACCTTAAAAAAAATAAAAATCTTAAAGCTATTCATGATCATATCAGCAAGAAAAATAGTTTTCAAATATTCTGAGAGTCAAAAAAAATGTGAGCACTTACTACAAACTGGTTGTGAGAGTCTTTTAAAATTCTTCAATATATGACCCAGACTAAGTCAGCATAATACAGTGGTTTTTTTCCACTTTTTAACTCAGAGTCACTTTTATCCCCCATCTCTGTCACAACCCTTTATTCATTACTGAATCACAATACAATTCAAAATAAGTTATATCGAGTTGCTGGCAACTTACAACTGTTAAAATACAAAGTGCTTTAAGTTTTTGAAAAGAGGGCGATAAAAATACATAAATATCCAAATAGACTATTTCCATAAACATTTTCTTTTTTTAAGAAGCATACTTATCCCACCCACGCATTTGTAAAAACATTTAGTAACTGCTGGTATTTATAATCATTTTTCCTTCCATTAAAAAAAAAAATAGCACTGTGTTTGTCCTAAGGACTGTTTAAAAGGCTGAAAAGTGAGGGTGTGGAGACACAGACATAGCAGCAGCACGCATCCAAAACTGTTGCAGCAAAACCAGACTGAAATGAAAATGGAAGAGTCACTCAACATTTTCTGCATGCTGAAAATCAAATCTTTGTGCTCTCCTCATTTCTTAAAAAACTGGGGTGGTTGTTGGTGGTTTTTAAAAGGGATTTTTTTTTTCCTCTTCTCATATGAAGATGATGGGAAGGAATCAAACATTCTCTTTAGTACACAGCTGAAGTCAATTGCAGAAAAGAAATTGGTTTGGCCAAACCCCACCTTTCCACCCATCAATTCTGCCCCTTCTGGTGGGAGGAAGATTTAAAAAATGAAGATCAATTCATTTAAAAAGAAAATTTTGAAGTGTCTGTATGCAAACAGCACCATGGAAACTCACAGTTCCATCCATATTTCAGAGAGGAGGAAAAAAGTCAGAATAGGTTGGGAAAGAACGAAGAGCACAGCAAGTCTGCATATGTTGAACTAGGAACCTTTTCAGAGGTGCTGGGTAAAGAACACTGCACAGCAAAACCCGTGCCCCTGCTGCCCCAAGCCCTGCACGCGTCGCCGCCTGCCCCAAGCCCTGCTCCCTCTCCACCTCCACCGCAGCGGGACTGACCCTTCCTCACCCAGACCACCCCTCTTTGCCCTTGGAGTTTCTCCTTCCCCTTCCTCTCCTCCAGCTCTTATCAGCAGGGAGCCCTGTGCCTCCCATCCCCATATCCCCAACAGCTGCCACCCCAAGCTGGGCTCATTCAGAGAGTATAAGAATTAAAATGTAATCACACAAATACACAAGAGTACCCACTCTTGTCCTCGTTCCCGACTGTCCAGGCTTCCAGTCATAAGTTTTCTCTTCCCTCTAGTCTCAATATCCATTATTCAATTGGCAATCCCTTGGCTTAACTCCTGTCTGCAGGCAACCTGCCAACTCTTTAGCTCTGCCCTCTGCTTAGCAGCTGGTCCTGGCCCTGGGCTGTTACTGTACCTACCCTTGCTCCTGACTCTGCCCTGAAAGGCCAGTCTTTGCGGGAGGAAGATTTAAGAGGGGTTTAAGATACCAGACGTCAGCTGTAATTTAGAAGTTCCCCAACATCAGGCTCTAAAATCTACAAAGAGAGGATGTAAAATAGCACTGCTTGAGCTTCAGGGGACAGAGGGACCAAGTCGCACAGTTCTCAAGTTCCCAACTCCAGCAGGGTCCACATCCTGCTGTGCTGCCTCTAACGAAGCTTTGCATTTTAGAGGTTCTGGTGCCAAAGTCCCCTGTGCTTAATGACACCCCCTGATGCAAGACCAGGGAAAAGCACAAAAGTATCTTAAAATCAGGTTCAAGAATAAAGATACCCAAGGGCACTGATCCAAACAGACTCAATCCTCTTAAACCTGCAACAAGCCCCAACTGACACAACATCATCTACTTAGACACCACAAATGTTACAAACAAAGTTACAAGTGTCAAGGGCATTCTGGAAATAAATGGACCAATAAGCTTGACAAATTAAAATTTGTCTTTTGTCATAAATCTTCCCTTATAATATCTCATATATATGTGTGTGTGTGCGCATGTATATATTCCCCTAATATCTAGCATATAGCAGAATTTATCCAAAGTAATTATTTTTACTAGGAAAGAACGTATGTGTCATAGGTCAAAGTTATCAAAGCAGCATTCAACCGACCTCTACAGGACTGTGCCTCCAGAATTAGAGACAGGAGTCAAGCCTCATGCTAAAAGCAGAGATTTAGATTTCACCCATCAACACCAGCCTTGTTTAAGAGGCTGGAGGGGATGCATAGCTTGGGAGTTAAATCATGAGGGAAAAGCCTGCACTGCATATACGAGAAGCAGGAGAGGATGAGAGCTATTTAGGGGTTTAAAAAGCTTCACAGACTCAGTATGTGGACTGAGGAGTACAACTTTTAAAAGCTGCTGCGAATCTGGAGCAGTAGGAAGAATGCTGCTACCCTGAACAGCAGCTGGTCTCTTAAAGAACTGCAAAAAGATCAAAAGGCCAAAATTTTCCAAAAATCAAAGCCCTGTTATTTACTTATATGACAAAATGTAAATAAACAGGATTAGAGGACAACTATTTAATTTTTGTTCTAAATTCAAGCAATGCAAAAGAATAATACTGAAAATGCTAGTGAGACCAGAAGTACCCTTGAAACAAAGAAAAACTGGGTAACAGCCAAAATGAAAATTAAACGAGAAAAAGAAGGCTCTGGATAGAATCTCCAGAGTTATGCTATGATCCTATGAAGTACCTGAATTATGAAATACCACGTACAGTTCTGACCACTGATTTATAAACAAGTGAACTTTATGTAAAATAATACGTCCAGCATCTTTCAAAACTCTGGCAATTTATAGTTCAGTACATTTAGCAAATCTCTAAGTGGAAAATACTTCTCAAATAATACTTGTCACTTTATTAATAGCTACAGAGACATGAAAATACAACTGTGAAACCTGATGAAGTTTTTTTTTAATGTAGTATGACATGTATTATAATTCTTGTCAACAATATTTAATTCAGTTAATGCTTTCTGTTCTGTTCAAATTCTTATAAAGAAAAGAAAACTTAAGTCACCTGCTGTGCATATTGTAAAGACAACTTGAACTGAATCAAAGAAGAAGAACATAACTAGGAGAGACACAGACGCTCCGATCGGCAGGAACAATGCCTGGGTAGAATCAATGGTTTGAATACCTGCAGAAGAAAGCAAGCAACATTTAACTCAGGCTATTCCTTATCACACGCATATTGACAGCCTGTCCTCACCGACACAATCAAGGACTCTGACAATATATTCCATTTCAGTGCTGATGCAACAGACATTTGCTCCGAGATCCTTGTGCACTATCATAACCAAGCACAGCAACTGACTTCCAAAAGTCAGTGTGGAAACACTCCAGCTAAACTGCGCGATCGCAGCGCTGGGAGTGCACAGCAACAGCCGTGCTTTGCAGATTCCAAGAACTGAGAGCTGAAAGAAAATGTATGATCTTTTTTCTTGTACCATAGATTTTTATTATGTTTATATTATTTTTATATAT